AGGAATGCGACTTTTATGGAGCAAGAGTATGTCTCCAAAAGAGTCAGTGGGAGTAGGATCGAACTTGAGAAAGTTCGAGAGCAACAAGTAGACGCTGAGCCGAGTGAACAAGTTGAAGACGTTCAACCTGATTCACTGCAGGTTGTGACTAAACCTTCGACTAGTGAATCTCGAAGATCAGGCAGGATTCGCCAAGAGCCTGTGAGATACGGATTTCTCGTGACTGGGAATGAGAAGCTCAAGTAATTGGAAAATGATGAGCCTACCACATACCCAGAAGCTATGGCGAGTCCGGATTCCGAGAAATGGCGCGAGGCTATGAAGTCCGAGATGCAATCCATGTCAGACAACCAAGTATGGACTCTGGTTGATGCATCTGAAGGGATAAAACCCATCGGATGCAAGTGGATCTTCAAGAAGAAGACCGACATGGATGGCAACATACACACGTATAAGGCACGACTTGTGGCGAAAGGATTCCGTCAAATTCATGGTATTGACTATGATGAGACCTTTTCGTCTGTAGTAATGCTGAAGTCCATCAGGATCCTACTTGCCATAGCCGCATATTTCGACTATGAGATATGGCAAATGGATGTCAAGACCGCGTTCCTTAACGGGAACTTGACCGAGGATGTGTACATGACACAACCCGAAGGTTTTGTCGATTCAAGGAACCCGAGGATAGTGTGCAAGCTTCAGAGGTCCATTTATGGACTGAAGCAGGCTTCGAGGAGCTGGAACCTTCGCTTTGATGAGACAATCAAAAAGTTTGGTTTCTCACAAAACGAAGACGAGCCATGTTTTTACAAGAAGGCTAGTGGGAGCACAGTTGTATTTCTAGTGCTGTACGTGGATGACATTCTCCTAATAGGGAATGACGTTCCTACCTTGCAAGACGTAAAGTCTTGGCTAGGAACGCAGCTTTCTATGAAGGACCTAGGAGAAGCGGCCTATATTTTAGGCATAAAGATCTATAGAGATAGATCGAGGCGGCTTCTAGGATTGAGTCAGAGTACTTACATCGATAAGGTCTTGAAACGGTTCAGGATGCAAGATTCCAAGAAAGGAACCTTACCGATGAGCAGTGGCTTAGTTCTCTGCAAGAGTCAGTGTCCTATGACACCTGATGAGAGAGAACGCATGGATCGGATCCCATATGCTTCGGCCATTGGATCAATCATGTATGCCATGCTTTGTACTCGACCGGATGTATCCTATGCGTTGAGCATTACGAGTAGATACCAGTCAGATCCAGGTGAGTCCCACTGGATCGCCGTCAAGAACATCCGAAAGTACTTGAGAAGGACTAAAGATGTATTCTTGGTATACGGTGGGTCCAAAAATGGAGCAAACTCGGTTTCATGGGCAGTTTTGACAGTTTGGACGAATTTGACTATAACTTTCTTATCTGAAGTCCAAATGACGTGATTCCAATTTTAAAAGATCATCAACTCATTGTAGTTATGATCTGGAAAAGTTGCGATCGAAAAGAGAAAGCATGAATCGTGGCCGAAAGTTGCAAGTCACGCTTCGGATCCAGAAAAGCAAAATGAGAAGGGTGTACTATCTCCTCCATAACTTTCGATTGGGAGCTCGGATTGCTTCGCCGTTTGTTTCACAGTAAACTAGACATCAAGAGCTTTCCATAGACACCAAGATCGTAATTTTTGGTGGAGATTTGGCCCTTCATCGAGCAGTTACAATCTGAGCAAAATTCTGGTTGCTGACATCATGGCTTACATCATGGAGACAACTCACCTAACATGCCACTACGAATTTCATCATTTCATCTACTTTTGCCCTTCAGAAACTCCTATAAATAGACCCTTAATCTGCTCTCATTGATCACACAACAACAAGAAACACAAAAACAAAGAGTAGAAGAAGATTTGGAGGCTTGGAGCATGAAGAACAAGCCTTGAAGATCTAGAGAAGCTTTCTCTTTCTCTTCTCTCTATCTTTATGTTTTTTTTATCATTTGATGATGTCTCTTGATCATTTCATGGCTCTAGAGTAGTTCTCTTGTTATGGGATAGGTTGAATTTGGTTTGATGAATAAGCTTGTGCTTGATTGATGATATTGTGTTCATATGCTCATGGTGTTGAAATCTTGAGTCTTAATGCTTGTTCTTGAATTAATTCTTGATCATGATTCTATAAACATGTTTTGAATTGAGAAATCCAAGCATGTTATGAACAAGATTATCATCTAGAAGTCATGATTCATTGAGAAATGATCTTGAATTCTCTAGGAACATTGATTAAACATGAACTTGTAATGCTCTTAGAACTTATATTTCATCATTGAGAAATGAGAAAATTTGAAGTATCTAAGTAAGAAGATTTGATCTTTTGAGAGAAAGATGATCTTGGATTAGAGTTTAAAGTTCCACCATGAATGCATATAAATCACATAATCATATTCTTAGTGCTTGTTCATCGAATTAAGTTCATACCGATTCCCATAACGTCTTTTGATATTGAATCCAACTTTGTTTTTCCCATCCTCTTTGATAATCAAAAGTTTGAATCTTGATTTAGTTCACTAGATTTTTAGAAATATTGTTAGAAACAAAATTCCATTCCCTTGGGACGAACCTTAAGTACCATCGATATAACCGTGCACTTGCGGTTGTGTGTGCTTAAGTGACTTATAAATATTAAAGCTTGATCAAACTACGCACACTACTTAGCACGCATCAAGTTTTTGGCGCCGTTGCCGGGGAACTCGTGAAAATTGTTTTTGACGATAACTCTTTTAGTCTTGTGAACTTTCACCACGCCTTAAGTAAATCCATCTTTTTGTAATCTTGATAAATTTGTTCATTTCGTCTTTCTTGTTTATAATCCATTTTCCCTTTATATTTTTATTTCTAGTATACTTTGAAATTTTTCTTTTGAATATTACAGGATGTTCGGTGCATGACCCGAAGTAGTGGAAGTGACAACTTGCAACCATACGACCCCGAAATTGAAAGAACGTATATCACTCGAAGAAGACAAACAAAAATGGTGGGCGTCAATAATCAACCACCACGACTTCCACCACCCCCTCAAGCACCAGAACCAGCCTTACGACGGGAGCCACGAGCCGAGACGTACGGTGACTACAACTCACCCAAACCCACAGAATTCCTGTCATGCATCCGAAGGCCACCGATCAATCGAACAAACTTTGAGCTCAAACCAGCATTTATTCAAATGCTCGCAAGCAAAACTTTCGGAGGATGGCCTCATGAAGATCCCAATGTTCACCTCGCAACATTCAAGAAAATGTGCAAATCAATGATTGTCGAAGGCGTATCTGAAGAGGCAATCTTTTTATGGGCGTTCCCATACTCCCTGGGCGATAAAGCGGAACAATGGTTATTCAACTTAAAACCTGATTCCATCCATACATGGGAACAAATGGAGCACAAGTTCTTGGAGGAGTACTTTCCGCCTCACAAGACGGCAAATTTCAAGGTGAAAATCAATAATTTTGTTCAAGAAAACGGCGAAAGTCTTTACGACGCTTGGCAAAGGTTCAAAGGTTACCAACGAGCGTGCCAACATCATGGCATGGATCGAAGGCACCTAATCTCAACCTTCGTTGAAGGGTTAAGGAAAGACATAAGACGTTGGATAAATGCCGCTGCTGGAGGTTCTATCCGCAACCTCACTTTTGAGCATCTCGAGGAATTAATTGAAGAAATGGCGAGAGATCGGGGCGATGACATGGATGAGTACGACCGAAGGGGAAACATAAAGTCTAAGGGTGAGTCAAGTGAAGTCCAATCCCTACGAGCACAAGTCGCCAAACTCACAGTTCTATTGGAGAATTCAAATGCGGTGACATCAATTCCACAAGACTCAAGCTACAATTACACCATGCAGACCCAAGAACAAGAGGTCGAGAATGTCAACTATGTGGCGAACAACCCCTACTCAAATACATACAATCCAGGTTGGCGTAATCACCCAAACTTTTCTTACAAAAACACCGGAAACACAGAAAATCTGGCCAATCAACCCCAAGCCCCAAGAATACTCCAAAGACCCCAACATTTTCAACCATACGAGCAACGCTATCAACCACAAGTAGCGCAACCCGTACTTGCACCGCAGCCGCAACCCGAAGATGAGCTTAAGGAATTACTCCTAAGCATGCAGAAACAACTGTCTGCTGATATTAGACAAACAAACAACGAGATTCGAGGGATGAAGAATGATCAAGACGATATCCGCAAACAAGTCGAGGGAATCAACACACATCTGAAGCTCCTAGACAATCAAGTTGCCCAAATGGCGTCATCTTCATCAAGGCCCATGGGAACACTTCCTGGAAGACCTGAGCCTAACCCTCGGGAGCATTGTAATGTTGTTGAGCTAAGAAGCGGGAGAAAACTTGAAGATATTAAATCCAAGGAGAAACAAATCAATAAAGACGGAGGTAAAGACGATGTTGTCGATTCCGACCCTGACATCAAGGTGGCAAAAGAAGACATACAAGAGAAGTCATACATTCTACCATCACCATACAAGCCACACGTGCCTTTCCCTCAAAGGTTGAGAAAACGTGACGATGACAGTCAATTCGCAAAGTTTGCTGATATGCTGAAGAAAATGGAGGTAAACTTGCCTTTCACTGAAGTTATCCTCAAGATGCCATCCTATGCAAAATTCTTAAAAGATATATTATCGAAGAAAAGGACGATTCAAGAAGAGACCATCGCGCTAAACTCTGAATGTAGCGCAATTCTGAAGCATGAGCTACCCCAAAAGATGAAAGATCCTGGAAGCTTCTCGATCCCTTGCACCCTAGGTAATGTCTCAATTAAAAAGGCATTATGTGATCTTGGAGCTAGCGTGAGCCTTATGCCTCTGTCAATATGCAAAATGCTCAACATTGGAGAACTCAAACCGACGAGGATGACTCTACAACTGGCAGATCGCTCAATCAAATATCCCATTGGGATTCTTGAAGATGTCCCACTTAAGGTCGGGAATTTTTATGTCCCTGTCGATTTTGTGGTCATGGAAATGGATGAAGACTCAAATATTCCAATCATACTCGGACGCCCATTCTTGGCCACTGCTGGAGCAGTTATCAACGTAAAAGAGGGTCATTTGACATTGTCAATAGGAGAAGAAAAAGTAGAGTTCAAGCTCGCTCAATCGCTCAAACAACCCTCCGTGGATGATACGTGTTGTTACATCGACGTCCTTGAACAATTGGCAGACGAGATATTGGAAGAATTACGCGAGGTTGATCCCCTAGAAGTGGCCCTCATGGCAAGCAAAGTAGAGACATGCGTAGATCAAGAAGAGGTGAACGTATACTCCGAAATCCTTGACGAAGAAGCTACAATATGCTCTATGGAGACGCCTTGCCCCATACACAATGAAGTCGACGACATCGAATCACCACAACACGATGAGATTGTACCTAACAAGAATTCCAAATTGCGGTACCATGACGAATCAACCTCACCAGAGCTCCATGATGTTTGCCTTGTTGAAGAAGCAACCACAAAAACCAAAAACGACATCGCCGATGAATGGGATCCTAAGGTTGCACCAAAGGTGGAGTTGAAGCCGTTGCCACCAGGACTGAGGTATGAATTTCTTGGACCTAATTCTTCATACCCTGTCATCATTAATGCCTCATTGAATGAACTGCACACCTCTAAGTTGTTAGATACACTTAGAAATCACAGAAAGGCGATAGGGTATTCATTAGATGATATGAAAGGCATACACCCATCCATTTGCATGCATAGAATTTTGATGGAGGATGGATATAAACCCTCAATTGAGCACCAAAGACGTTTAAACCCGAATATGAAAGAAGTGGTTAAGAAAGAAATCTTGAAACTACTCGATGCTGGAATAATCTACCCTATCTCTGATAGTGAGTGGGTTAGTCCTGTTCAGGTAGTTCCAAAGAAAGGGGGAACAACTGTAGTCAAGAATGAACGAAATGAACTTATCCCGACTAGGATTGTAACTGGTTGGCGAATGTGCATTGATTACAGAAAACTTAACAAAGCCACGCGCAAAGACCATTTCCCCTTGCCCTTCATTGACCAAATGCTAGAAAGATTAGCAAAACACAAATACTTTTGCTTTCTAGATGGCTACTCAGGTTTCTTTCAAATTCCTATCCATCCTTCAGACCAAGAGAAAACCACATTCACTTGTCCCTACGGAACATTTGCCTATAGGCGTATGCCTTTTGGTTTATGTAACGCACCAGCCACATTTCAACGATGCATGATGTCTATATTCTCTGAGTTTATTGAGGACATCATGGAGGTATTCATGGACGATTTCTCTGTCTATGGTTCCTCCTTTGATGTGTGTTTAATGAATCTTGCTCGAGTCTTAGACAGGTGTGAACAGGTAAACTTGGTTTTGAATTGGGAAAAATGTCACTTCATGGTGCAAGAAGGAATCGTTCTGGGACACAAAATTTCTGAAAAAGGAATCGAGGTTGATCGGGCTAAAATCGAGGTGATTGAGCAAATGATACCCCCAACCAATGTCAAAGGCATCCGAAGCTTCCTAGGACATGCAGGATTCTACCGACGTTTCATCAAAGACTTTTCAAAAATTTCAAAACCTTTGACGGAGCTATTGGGGAAGGATATTCAATTTGTCTTTACAAAGCAATGTCATGAGGCGTTTGAGACTCTGAAGAAGTCATTGATCTCTCCACCGATCATTCAACCACCTGACTGGGGAAAGCCTTTCGAGCTGATGTGCGACGCAAGTGACTATGCCGTTGGAGCAGTCCTAGGTCAAAGAAAAGACAAGAAACTTCATGCGATATACTATGCAAGTCGAACCCTAGATGACGCACAAATCAACTACGCCACCACAGAGAAAGAATTACTTGCAATAGTTTTCGCATTTGAGAAGTTTCGATCATATTTGGTTGGATCAAAGGTGATTGTTTATACCGATCATGCTGCTCTACGGTATCTTCTCTCCAAGAAAGATGCAAAGCCACGGTTGATACGATGGATCCTATTGCTCCAAGAGTTTGATCTCGAGATTCGTGATAGGAGAGGAGCAGAAAATGGTGTAGCGGATCACCTCTCACGTCTTGAGTTCAAGGAGGACATACCTATTGATGATTCATTTCCAGACGACCATGTCATGTCTCTTGAGAACAGAAATGATGCACCATGGTATGCTGACTACGTCAACTATCTCGCATGCGGAATTTTACCCCCAGAGTTGGATTACAATAGAAGAAAAAGATTTCTGAATGATGTTCGTCATTATTTCTGGGAAGAACCATTCCTCTTTCGACGTGGAGTAGATGGTCTATTCCGACGATGCATCCCCGAAGACGAAATCCTTGACGTAATCAGGCACTGTCATTCATCAGATTATGCCGGCCATTTCGGAACCTCTAAAACGGCGACCAAGATATTACATGCAGGATTTTATTGGCCGACGCTGTTCAAGGATGTTCATAAATTTGTTTCCTCGTGTGACACATGCCAAAGGACGGGAAACATTGGAAGACGACATGAAATGCCACAAAGATACATCCTTGAAGTCGAACCATTCGATGTATGGGGCATCGATTTTATGGGACCATTCCCATCATCCTGTGGAAATCAATACATCCCTCCGTGGATGATACGTGTTGTTACATCGACGTCCTTGAACAATTGGCAGACGAGATATTGGAAGAATTACGCGAGGTTGATCCCCTAGAAGTGGCCCTCATGGCAAGCAAAGTAGAGACATGCGTAGATCAAGAAGAGGTGAACGTATACTCCGAAATCCTTGACGAAGAAGCTACAATATGCTCTATGGAGACGCCTTGCCCCATACACAATGAAGTCGACGACATCGAATCACCACAACACGATGAGATTGTACCTAACAAGAATTCCAAATTGCGGTACCATGACGAATCAACCTCACCAGAGCTCCATGATGTTTGCCTTGTTGAAGAAGCAACCACAAAAACCAAAAACGACATCGCCGATGAATGGGATCCTAAGGTTGCACCAAAGGTGGAGTTGAAGCCGTTGCCACCAGGACTGAGGTATGAATTTCTTGGACCTAATTCTTCATACCCTGTCATCATTAATGCCTCATTGAATGAACTGCACACCTCTAAGTTGTTAGATACACTTAGAAATCACAGAAAGGCGATAGGGTATTCATTAGATGATATGAAAGGCATACACCCATCCATTTGCATGCATAGAATTTTGATGGAGGATGGATATAAACCCTCAATTGAGCACCAAAGACGTTTAAACCCGAATATGAAAGAAGTGGTTAAGAAAGAAATCTTGAAACTACTCGATGCTGGAATAATCTACCCTATCTCTGATAGTGAGTGGGTTAGTCCTGTTCAGGTAGTTCCAAAGAAAGGGGGAACAACTGTAGTCAAGAATGAACGAAATGAACTTATCCCGACTAGGATTGTAACTGGTTGGCGAATGTGCATTGATTACAGAAAACTTAACAAAGCCACGCGCAAAGACCATTTCCCCTTGCCCTTCATTGACCAAATGCTAGAAAGATTAGCAAAACACAAATACTTTTGCTTTCTAGATGGCTACTCAGGTTTCTTTCAAATTCCTATCCATCCTTCAGACCAAGAGAAAACCACATTCACTTGTCCCTACGGAACATTTGCCTATAGGCGTATGCCTTTTGGTTTATGTAACGCACCAGCCACATTTCAACGATGCATGATGTCTATATTCTCTGAGTTTATTGAGGACATCATGGAGGTATTCATGGACGATTTCTCTGTCTATGGTTCCTCCTTTGATGTGTGTTTAATGAATCTTGCTCGAGTCTTAGACAGGTGTGAACAGGTAAACTTGGTTTTGAATTGGGAAAAATGTCACTTCATGGTGCAAGAAGGAATCGTTCTGGGACACAAAATTTCTGAAAAAGGAATCGAGGTTGATCGGGCTAAAATCGAGGTGATTGAGCAAATGATACCCCCAACCAATGTCAAAGGCATCCGAAGCTTCCTAGGACATGCAGGATTCTACCGACGTTTCATCAAAGACTTTTCAAAAATTTCAAAACCTTTGACGGAGCTATTGGGGAAGGATATTCAATTTGTCTTTACAAAGCAATGTCATGAGGCGTTTGAGACTCTGAAGAAGTCATTGATCTCTCCACCGATCATTCAACCACCTGACTGGGGAAAGCCTTTCGAGCTGATGTGCGACGCAAGTGACTATGCCGTTGGAGCAGTCCTAGGTCAAAGAAAAGACAAGAAACTTCATGCGATATACTATGCAAGTCGAACCCTAGATGACGCACAAATCAACTACGCCACCACAGAGAAAGAATTACTTGCAATAGTTTTCGCATTTGAGAAGTTTCGATCATATTTGGTTGGATCAAAGGTGATTGTTTATACCGATCATGCTGCTCTACGGTATCTTCTCTCCAAGAAAGATGCAAAGCCACGGTTGATACGATGGATCCTATTGCTCCAAGAGTTTGATCTCGAGATTCGTGATAGGAGAGGAGCAGAAAATGGTGTAGCGGATCACCTCTCACGTCTTGAGTTCAAGGAGGACATACCTATTGATGATTCATTTCCAGACGACCATGTCATGTCTCTTGAGAACAGAAATGATGCACCATGGTATGCTGACTACGTCAACTATCTCGCATGCGGAATTTTACCCCCAGAGTTGGATTACAATAGAAGAAAAAGATTTCTGAATGATGTTCGTCATTATTTCTGGGAAGAACCATTCCTCTTTCGACGTGGAGTAGATGGTCTATTCCGACGATGCATCCCCGAAGACGAAATCCTTGACGTAATCAGGCACTGTCATTCATCAGATTATGCCGGCCATTTCGGAACCTCTAAAACGGCGACCAAGATATTACATGCAGGATTTTATTGGCCGACGCTGTTCAAGGATGTTCAGGGTCATTTGACATTGTCAATAGGAGAAGAAAAAGTAGAGTTCAAGCTCGCTCAATCGCTCAAACAACCCTCCGTGGATGATACGTGTTGTTACATCGACGTCCTTGAACAATTGGCAGACGAGATATTGGAAGAATTACGCGAGGTTGATCCCCTAGAAGTGGCCCTCATGGCAAGCAAAGTAGAGACATGCGTAGATCAAGAAGAGGTGAACGTATACTCCGAAATCCTTGACGAAGAAGCTACAATATGCTCTATGGAGACGCCTTGCCCCATACACAATGAAGTCGACGACATCGAATCACCACAACACGATGAGATTGTACCTAACAAGAATTCCAAATTGCGGTACCATGACGAATCAACCTCACCAGAGCTCCATGATGTTTGCCTTGTTGAAGAACGGTGGGTCGGAAGACGAGCTCGCTGTAAGGGGTTACACCGATGCTAGTTTCCAATCAGACCCGGATGACTACAGATCGCAGTCAGGCTATGTTTTCTGCCTGAACGGAGGCGTTGTTAGTTGGAAGCGTTCTAAGCAAGCGACCGTTGCAGATTCTACTACAGAAGCTGAGTATATTGCAGCGTCGGACGCAACAAAGGAAGCCGTTTGGATCAGGAAGTTTGTTGGCGACTTGGGTGTCATTTCTAGTGATGATAGCCCCATTGCTCTGTATTGTGACAACAATGGAGCGATCGCACAAGCGAAAGAACCCAGATCCCAATAACGATCCAAACACATACTCAGACGATTTCACCTTATCAGGGAGATTATAGACAGAGGAGACGT